CGGAGCGGGGACAGAGACACGGAGCGGGGACAGCGGCGCGGAGCGGGGACAGCGGCACGGAGCGGGGCCCGACACGGAGCGGGGCCCGACACGGAGCGGGGACAGCGGCACGGAGCGGAGCCCGCACCGAGCCTTTACCGGCGCGGGGCGCTGAGTCAGCGCGGCCCTGCTGAGTCACGCTCCCGCCGCCCCCTGACGTCACCGCCGCCGCAGCCAATGGCCTGCCCCGCCGCCCCCGCCGCCTGCCGCGCGGGCACGGGCGGGGCCAATGGGAGGCCGGGGGGCGGCTGAGTCACGGTAGGGGGCGGGGCCTGGGGGTGGGAGCGGGGAATGGGGAATGGGGAATGGGGAACGGGGAATGGGAATGGGATTGGAATTGGATTTGGATTGGGGATGGGATTGGGACGGGGGCCCGGGGAACAGGGAACGGGGAACGGGGAATGGGGAATGGGGATGGGATTGGAATTGGATTTGGATTGGGGATGGGATTGGGGATGGGATTGGGACGGGGGCCCGGGGGACGGGGGACAGGAATGGGGAACGGGAATGGGAAACAGGAATGGGCAACAGGAGTCTGAAATGGGGAATGGGATCGGGAAATGGGAAATGGGAAATAGGAACTGGAAATGGGGATGGGGAATGGGGAATGAGGAACGGGAGTGGGAGATGGGGAACGGGAGCGGGAAATGGGGAATGGGGAATGGCAATGGGGAATGGCAATGGGGAACGGGAGCAGGAAATGGGGAATGGGAGCGTGAAATGGGGAACGGGAGTGGGAAATGGGGAATGGGAACTGGAAATGGGGAATGGGAATGGGGAATGGGAATGGGGAATGGGAGTGGGAAATGGGGAATGGGAATAGGGAATGGGAACAGGAAATGGGGAATGGGAATGGCAGCGGGAAATGGGGAATGGGGAACAGGAAATGTGGAATGGAAATGGGGAGTGGGGAATGGGAAATGGGGATGGGAAGAGGGAATGGGGATGGGAATGGAAATGCGAAATGGGGGGTGAGAATGTGGATGGAAGGGGGGAGTGGGATTGGGAATGGGAAATGGAAATAGGAATAGGAATGGGAAATAGGGGATGGGAATGGGGATGAGGATGGGGATGGAAATAAGAATAAGGATGGGGATAGGCACTGGGATGAGAAAACACTGGGGGCAACAGGGTAAGGAGATGAGTTCAGGGTGGAGGTGGCAGGTGTTGGTAATGGAGACCAGAAACTTTCCCCGTTGGTCTCTATTTTAAATGCTTGTCTCACCTTGACCAGGCACCTTGAGATCAAGGTGTATTTTAGAAATGTGGATCTCTGGAGTTGGGTGACAATGCTAGCTTCATACAGAGCAGAGGAGGGCTGTTGATTTTGTGACATTTGCTACAGGATTGAGAAATGACAAAGTGTTGTTCTGACCCTGCTCTGCCCGGAAAACACCTGACTGTGCTGTGGTGTGTGACTCAGACACAGAGTGGAGCCATGAGGTCAAAGGGGAGCTTTGGGATTGCATGTGCTGACTGCCTGTACAGCCACTCACTGCTGTTGAACTCCAGGAGTGGCCTGTGCCACTCCTCCACCCACCAACGTGGCACTCGTGTGACTGCTGCTGTGGGTGCCAGCTTGCAGCCAGCCCACTTGGAGCACTTCCCAACAGCACAGTCCTGCTGGATTAAATTATGCCATGTCATCAGCCAGACACTCTGCCCACTCTTCAATTCATTTTCTCTCCTAAACCCATAAAATCACCAAATTTCTCGTGTAAACCCTTACTACACAGAACAGCTGAGCTGACAGAACATTGCATTCTGCCACAGGTTTGTGAAGGGTAAACTCTGATTTCACCTCCTCCACTGTGGGGTTTGCTGCCTAGGGTCTTGTGGGACAGCTGTGCCACATCCATACTGGGAGCACCCAAAACCTGCCCCGGAACACCCTGGGCAGGGAACAGCCAGAGTATGGCACTCTCCCCCGTTTCTTTTGTTCTTCTGACTTGGTTGGTTCTGGCAGTTTGGAAGAAGAAACAGGAGAAAATATCCAAATGAAATAGTAAGAGAAAGTCAAGTTATCCAAGGTACTTGGATAAATACCTTATCCAAGAACTTGGCTCTAGTATGCATCAGCTTCCTTGTACAACTCAAAATGCTGGGAGGTGCAAAAAAACACACATGACCTGCTGAGCTTGAAGGGTGATCTTTTGTCCCTAAAAAGCACCTACTCACTGCTTGAGGGGAGTGGGATCCCCATGATCTCCCCAGGAAGGCTTGCCAAAAAAACAGCAGGGTGAGCTAAGCAGAGAGGAAGAGGTTGGTGTCTTCCCTGGCTGGCTGAGAGTGCCCTGCCAGGGAGAGCTGCTGCCACAGGGATCATGTTTTATGGTGGAGGAGGGAGGAGTTTGCTTGTGGATAACAACAGAAATGGCTCTGCGCAGATTAGATGCTCTTAACGAAGACTGTAAATCCCAAGTCTGGGAACCCACATAGTACAGGCAGGCATCTTAATAGAAATGAGGATTAGAAATTAGCTGAGGTCTTTAGTGATATTTTTAGAAGGTTGCTCCTGACAGGTTAGGCTGCTGAGAACCAGAGGAAAGTACCGAACCCTGTATTACTTGGGAAAGGATCACACAGTGCAGTGTGTGATTAGAGGCTGGCTAGCTTAGTGACAAAGGGGATAGGTGGGTTAGGGCTGATTCGGGAGGAATTAGCAAGGGAAATTGCTTGAGAAGCAGAATTTGATTCGGGGCAGCCAACATGGATTTGTGAGAGGAAAGCTATGTGTAACTAACTTGCTGGAGCCTGGGGGAGGCACCATTCCCTGGCAGCCTGTGGAGTGTTGGTTTTATGTAACTGATCTGCAAAGAGAAGGCCTGGCCCCTTTGCCACCAGAATGGTGACACTGGGTGGGATGGATGGCAATCCCCTCCCTCCCTTGCATCTGCATGGACTCTCTGCCTCCTCTTCCCCATCCATCCCTTCTACTTCCTTTCTAGTTTTTATGGGAGTAGGCTTATTGCTTTTCCCCATGTCCCACGGTTTTCTCTTTGTCTTTCCCTTCCTCTCCCTCCAGTCCATGGGATTGCCTCTTTTCAGGGTGTTACACATCTCTGTCCACCCCAGCACACCAGCCTCCTCTGCCTCAGGACCCACATTGCATCCTAAAGAGGGGATGAAACTCTTCAGAAGAGGACATCCATGGCACAGCATCACTGCCAGCTACAGGCACAGCACGGCTGGGGAGCCAGGGATGTGTTTCCATCCTATCTCTCAGGAAAGGGTCTGTCCCCTCTCCAGCACCTGGGTTATGACAGCACAGCACAGAGCTCCCCATGGCCAAGACAGCCAGGTCCATCCATCCACCTCCTCTCTGCCTTGTGTGCCCCAGACTCCTCCCAACACCATCCAGAAGACGCAGATGAGTCCCTGCCCCTGATGTCCCCAAGGCCACCTCGTTGCCTGCAGTCCTCCTGCATCCTGCTTGTTGCTCCAGCTGCAGAGCCAGTGCTGTGGCATTAACATTTGGGTGACTCCAGCTCTCATTTGCCTTTTCCAGGTCTCTGAACTCCAACCTCAATGTCCTGCTTTTCAGCTCATAATTTTGTACCAGGCTCTTAAAACTGGATTTTATTTTTATTGCAATGACCCTGTGATGCTGCCTGATCCCTCTGTGGAGGAGACATGACATCTCCATTACACAGCTCAGATAAGTGTCTTAAAGAGACCACACACAAAGGAACCTAATGGTACCTATTTTTATTAGGTTTATTACAGGAGGGGAAGGAAAGCAGTCTGATCTCCCCACAGGATACTCTGTTAACAGCAGCAGAGAGGAGAGATCTGTGGAGGTGGATCAGTTTTCCAAGAATATTAGCTACTGCTGCTCTAAAATTAGAGTCTAGGGAGAGCAGACAGGTTGACATAATTGAAAGGGCTGTCTTATGGGATGACATAGTTAAACAAGTCCATGATCAGCTTTAGAGTGACAGCTCAGTGACTTCTTCTAATCCTCAAAGGAGCACTGAGTTGCGAGGCTGTGATTTAACTAGTCCTGGATCTTATCTTGTGATGATGTCAATATTATTAGAACCTGCTTCTAAAGAGATGCCTCCAAAATCACTGTACATGAAGCGACTGGCGTTACAGGCACGACTCTGCTGCAGCTGCATCCTGCAGAGCCCGTGGCTGATGCAAACACTCCCCTGCTGCCCTTCTTACATACCTGATTCTGTCCCTGTGGGCTGGGCTGCAGGGGCAGGTCCAGAAACAGGATTAAGAACCTCATTTCAGGATGGAGCTGAAAAATGTCCTTCAGCCGCCCATTTTACTCAACGTAATTTAATAGCAAACACAAAGTAACAAAGTTAGAGGTGAAATATAATAGCAGGAACCCCATAAAAAGTAACCTAATCTGTAAGATAAATAGACAACACTTTAGCCTGGGGAGATAGCAAATAAAAGAGAAATATGAGCGGAGCCATTCTCAATTCATAACTAACTTTAAAGAGAAATAATGAAGATGAGTTCTCCAACTTTTAATGCCCTAAGAGTCTTCTCCACAAAAAAAAAAAAAAAAAAAAAAAAAAAAAAAACAAGTAAAAAAAAAAAAAAAAAAAAAAAAAATAAAAATAAAAATTAAAACAAACAAACAAACAAAAAATTTAAATGTTTTCCTCATTTCTTCACACATATGTCCCCAGCCAAATATTCTGGGTCATTCCCACACAGGGAGG